AAAAAATGCAGCTAACGCGAGATTTAAGTTGGTACCAATTGTAAATTTTTATTATGATTACAAAAAATACTAAAATCCGAATAAAAACAGTTTCACTGTAAAAAAAATCGCGCCAAGTCTACGTTCATAAGATTATTAAGAAAAAAATATTGTTTTTTTCTTTACAAAAAGATTTAAAATAAAAAAATTAAAAAATCCAAGTAACCGATATATGATTGTTTATGATTTTCGGAAATTAAAAAAAATTTTTTTGTAAATTTAAAAATTAAAAAAACAATTTTGGAACGTACTTGGTGTGCGTCATATTGTGCACTTTCAATTTTTTTAAAGTCCTAGTAAATAGATTTTAAGAATTTAATTAAACGTAAAATATTTTGCAACCGCGCACACCAAGTACGTTCCAAAATTTTTTTTTTTAATTTTTAAATTTACAACATAATTTTTTCTAATTTCGGAAAATCATATACAATCATATCGGTTACTTGGATTTTTTATTTTTTTTATTTTATATCTTTTTGTAAAGAAAAAAAATAGTTTTTTTTTTCTTAATAGTCTTATGAACGTGAACTTGGCGCGATTTTTTTACTGTGAAACTGTTTTTGTTCGGGATTTTAGTATTTTTTGTAATCATAATAAAAATTTACAATTGGTACCAACTTAAGTCTCGCGTTGGCTGCATTTTTTATAGCAAACTATTTCCTTGAAGCTACAGTTTATGTAAAAATTCCAGCGCACCCTGGCGGGTGTAGATGCAAGCTGTGAAATATCTCTTTTTAACTGTAGTTTCCCATCTAATGAAGGATTACTATGCATTTTCGAATTATTTAGTCTGTGGCAGATCACTTTGCCCATCGAAAAAAAGTCAGGATCGAAATTTTTGCGTTGCTATAGTTTGTGCTGATTAAATTTGATAATTTCAAGTAGATTAATTGTTATAAGTAAATATAATTAATTAATAACAGTAAAATAAAGTATGAATTACTGTTATAATATACAATTTAGGAAAAAAAAAGTACCGTAGAATTAATTAAAATTTTGCAACCTCAAAATACCGTTCTGCTTACAGTAAACACAGTCGGTAGTCTGGCGCTCCGTTGACAACGGATTTGAACGGAACTTGGCGCCAGATTCTACCGACTCTGTGGATAAGTATGTGAAGCTTAGAAAAGATCCTTCATGAATTGTAGACGCTATTGTCGTGACAAGCCGCGTTTCATCGTGTATATAAGTATACACATAGATCTATAAACTTTTGAACCACATGTATTTTCTCAACCAGCTTGGTGAGTTGTGAGAAAATAGCAAAATTTTTCATCAGTTCCATCATGAGGATAAATGCAACAGTTAGATTTCGATGAAATCTACTAATAATGGTTTTTCAATAGATAATAAAAAAAATTTAGATGTAACATTACAATTCTTAAAATTATTCTAGATGAGATTGCATTAAGTGTAAACTAAGATTATTTTTTTTTTTAGATCACAGAGGAGTCCTACCCCCTATCATTTTAGAACATTCTGGAGTTATTTACATTTCTCAAGATGAATCTACATCAATGGTTTGCGTAGCTAAAGCTTGCCCATCAGCGGATTATAGGTATCTGTTATTTATTAACATTTCTTTGCATGAAATAAGTTTAAATTAATCGAAAATTAACCGAAGCAGAATCAACTTTTTAGTAATGATATAACGGGGGTGGTTAGCCCGCGTCCAATTGGTCACCCCTTTCCTCTTTTTGAAAAGGGCGCTACTGGGATTTTTTTCGCGGTGTCCTAGAAACCGGGATAGCATGAGAAGGGAAAGATCGGGTCGTCAGAAGTCTACGAGAAGGCTGCAAATAATACTGAGAAAAAGATTATTAACAATAACAAAATTATTTTTTCAAACTCAATAATTCAACTTAACAAAATTTTCAACAATATTACCCTTAAAATTAACCTAACAATTACTTAATTGTGAGAACCTCTCACTTACGCAGCAACTTGCCAAAATCTTACAAATTAAAATATCATTTAACTCTTTTTAATCATAGACCATTACGCATCTATCCACTAAACTCCTTATTTAATCATAGACCATTCCACATCTATCTTCTAAACTCTTTATTTACCTAAACCCTCGGCAATCTGACGGAATATTGTAAAAATACCAAAAAATTTCTCGTCAATCTGACGGACTACCAACTAACATCATAAATTACCTAATTTCCATAAAACTCATCCATTGGACACTAACTTAATTCCCTGATATTCTCTAATTATTCATATATCTTAATTACTAATCAACTAAATTTCCAACTTTCAATCTTATCATAATTCACAAAATCTTTCGCGAAAAACTCTTCAACATTTCATTCTGTTCTACTAAATTTTATTATCAATAAATTTCTTAACTAACTTTATTACTCAATTCTTTTTAAATAAATTCCTAATTAATTATTCTTAAATAAATTCATTGATCCAATCTACTTAGCTAAATAAAATCACTAAATTTATCAATTAAATGAACTCCACTAATAATCTTTACAAAATCCACTACATGATTTTCTTAATACGGTTCAATTATCGTTCAATAATTACTCAATAAATTCATTCGGCAAATTTACTAATTAATTAAATTTAACCCACCAGCCTAAATTTAATTTCCTAAAAAAATTCTCAATATCACCTGTTATAATCCTAAGCGTCAACAAAATTCTCAACGATAGAACTCTCTCGAATGACCTTCACTAACTTAGTTGCACAGTTTCATTTATTATTCAGATTTTTGTCTTGCAAGTTCTTAACTAAACTTAATTTATTATAGCCAAAAGACCTATGATTAATCCTTATAAATTTTCTACTAATAAATTAATAAATAATCAATTAAATTCATCTTTCAATCTAAGTGTCCCGCGACAAAACTAACTAAATGGCCTTGACGAATAAATTACTTAATTATGAACCTGCTCACATAAAATGGCTACTCGAGACAATACAGAAAATCTTTTCAAAGTTTCTTTTCAATTATTCTTCTTATTTTCAATTATTTCTTTTCAATTATTTTTCATTTATTTAATTATTAATTAAATCAAATATCACAATTGGCCTAAAACTATTGACAAAGACCTGTAACGTAGCTCTTTGTCACGTGGTAGATCTTCACGGCAAACGATAATTCACTACGTTACACTTCGTCCATCTCAGCCACCTCTCGATCCTCCAGGAACCCCGACAGGCGCCAGCCGACTTTTGTTTCACCGGTATCGGCAACCGGGATACGATAACTTAATTTTTATGTTCCCAGAAGACCAAGAGCACCCTCGACGGTAACGGAATACCTCGGTGTCGCTCAGTTATGCAGGTTATGGAGAGAGGGTCGTGATTCGGTCTTTTAGAGGAAGTAATTTCCTTATAAAACGGGACTAAACGGTATCTAGTACACTAATCGGTACTCTCAAACTAACACTCAACCTTATTAATCGGTAAAATAAAATAAATCGATATTAAAAATATCGCGGAAGCAGTCCCAAACGAACACGAAACGAAGACAATGGCTTGAGCCATTCATCTCCGGTAATAGCAAGCGTGAGGCACGCCAGCTCCGATACGAGAGACTAACTTAACTCTCCAACGCGATGCTCACTCTACGAGAGCTCGTGACTGACTCTTTTTACGGTACATAACTAACGCTGCCCAGCAGCGACGGTACGTCCGTCCTCTACGAGGACCTCCACAAGACTCCTCTATAAATCCAGACTTCCACACAAAACGATCCTTACTGTTTCACTACTCCAGCCAAACTGCCTCTCACCGTACCCCCACTACATTCATGCACCAGCTACATACGCTCAACTCACTTTCACGCTACCCCCAGACATACAAACTTCACACTCATCCCCACTCACACAACTAGTGTCCCAGACCTACCAGTGATTCTGCTCCCCTGGGAGCCTTGACAGTACTCGCGACTACCCTCGAGCCTCCAGCAATCGAGGCCTGTCAACCGCAAACTACCGCATGAGCCTGTCAAACTCAGGTACTCTGGGGCGACGACATTTCAGTCGCTCCTCCGCGATAATCACCTCGCTCCAAGAGGCTGAACCTAAGTTCAGTCATCGGTAACTGACCGGGAGACACGTTACATCGGTCACTTTTCCGCAGTGCAGCTCGACAGCCTCGAGACAACTCTCTCACAAGCACACTCTCTCGATAGTTCTTGATACTACGACATTACCGTACTTTATACACCAAAAACTCACGATATCACACAAATACACCACTACTGTAATGCTACATAAAATGTAACGTTACAGACCTAAGAATCTATTATTGTTATTATTCAACGATGACTGACACTCCGGTCCAACAGGGCGGGATCAGCAGCTTGGTGTTTCGTCCTCTCGAACTACGGTGCTGGTCTCCGGTCAGGGCTTGTTCAACTCCAAATACCACGATAAATTCCTCAGTAGTTGCTTCTCGATTACCAAAACTGCACTGTACTGATTTAAACTGGCTCAAAACAAAGGTCACTGATCTAAAAGGCAAAAGGCCACTGGCTTCCAGAAGGGAAAATGCCTCGATGTCTCTGTTGTCGGCCCTTTTATAACCCTTTCACTTCAGCTCTCGAACTTTCTTATTGTTACGCCCCACTTTATTATTCAGGGACAGTAGTGGGGACGTTTGATTCGCACGCCCGGTGTCAAGTCGAAGCTCTTGTCAAAAATCAAAAGGTAAGGGAAAGCCCTTACCTACCGTGCGTCAATTATGGGGTCGATAATGACCCCGGGAAGTTCGATTTTCCCTGTTACAATGAATTTAAAATTACAGAATAATGACTAAGTTTCTCTCATTTTTTAATTTAATTGTACGTTTTTTTCAATTTCTCGCTATTAAAATAATTTAAAAAAATTATGAAATTATTGACTTCACCTTGATTTAAAAAAATTAGGAAAACGGTTGACCCTAAAGGCCATCCCTGCAACTTCCCGCTACATCCATACCTAAGTGCTCAACAATTCACTTATTTTTTAAGCTCTTCGAGCTCAAATATATTATTTTTGTGTAATTTTGAGCTCTCCGAACTCAAATGAATCGCTTTTATGTGCTTTTGAGCTCTTCGAGCTCAAAAGGCTAATGGTAGTTTTATAGAACACTATTTTTTGAATTTTCAAATCGTAATAACTTTTGAATGAATTAACCGATTTTCTCGCAGTTTACGGCATTCAACGCAGTTTTTTGAGTTCTTTGAAAAATTTTTGAGCGTAAACTGGTCAGACTAAAAATTTCATAGAAATTCTGAAAAAAACATATTTTTTAATTTTTTTCGACAACGATATATCACGAACAAATCAACCAATTTTGACTGGGCTGGTGGCAATCGACGTGGTTTTTTGAGGTTAAGAGCTGATTAGTTTTTGGAATTGATCGGTTCAGCCGTTTAAAAGATATCTCAAAAAAACGAATTTTTGGAAATTTCATTTTTGAGATTTCTCAAAATTGATCGACTCAAATTGTGTAAATGAGTATCAGAATTCTAGGGGCAAAAGAACTCTTCAGAACGCCGCCTATTTCGATCAAATCGGATGATCCGTTCAAAAGTTATGAGAGATTTACATACATACATACATACACACACACACACACACACACACACACACACACACACACACACACACACACACACACACACACACACACCCTGCGGCAGAGGAGAAACTGCTACCAGGTGCGTCTCCCCGTAGTGGATGGGTTGACACTCGCTGTCCTTGGATGACACTTAATCTCTTAGTTGATGAGGTACAGCGGGTAGGAGCCAAGCAAAATAACCAAACAAAATACGCTCCCGTGGAAAAAACTCCCCTTTAGTGGGTTGGTCACACTAACTGACCTAACAAGACGATCGGTCCCTGCTGTAACTCACTGGAAGTTTCCGGAACCGGTATCGTAGTTTCCGACGATACAGGCCACGGCTGATGTGAGCTTGCTCTGCCGAGGTGTAAGTTGCAGCAGTGGATCAGGAGCCAGTCACTTCGGGCCTTGATCAGGAAGTACGCAGTGAGTGTTAGAGATCGGAATCTTCACCGCCCCGAGCGAGTCTAGTCCGTCCGTGTATTCCGGGACTGGCTAAGTGTCGGCTAGGCCTCAGGGAACTGGGGTAGGAGTACTATCTCCGAGGGTACACCCTTTCTAGTTATGACAACCCGCTCCACTCCGTACGATGCGCTGGTAAATCAAAAAAGTATGAGTTATTCAAAGGAAAAAAACAAAAGTGGAAACGGGCTACATGCCGAACAAGCAGTGATTGACGCAAGCGCTGAAATGAAGCGTTTGCAAGCGCTCAAACGCCTTGAAAAGCTGATCAGTGAGTTGAATGATTTCGTCTAACCAAAGGTCAACATTCACAAAGAGATTAAATCCAAGATGACTGGTTGAGAAGCTGGACGAGGAGTGGCGCTCATCATTGCAGCGCATATCCCATGCTACACCGGAGAAAGCCTGTCAGGCTGTCGACGTGACTGACGAAGCAATGGACACCGAAGCTGAAGGTGACGGTGAATCAGTCGCGGAAGACAAAAGTGAAGCCAGCAACAAGTCAGGTAAGAGAAAAGATCGACCTTCTCCTGACCCAAAAATCAGCCAAGCCATGAAGAAAAAGGATTTGAAGAAAAGCCCTCTACAAGGAGCGGCAGGGTGAAGCGACGAACAGGAAAAAGCGTCTGGCAAAAAGTTCAATCCAAGAAAGAGCTAAAGCGACAGAAGAAAGAGATGCTCTCAAAACAGATGACAAAGAAGCCCCGACCTGAACCCAAGCGAAAGAAACTGCGGAAATGGATCAGACCGGATGCCCTCATCATCCGGCTGACGGAGAAAGCAAAGTACGCCGAGATCCTCCGTCGAATAAAACAGGACGTCCCTGACGAACAGGTCCGCAGTACGGTAGAGAAGATCCATAAGACCAATGCTGGAGATATGCTGATAACTCTTTCGAGGAAGAGCACCGACAAAGGCCAAACATTGAGAAAGACCATTGCAGACATTCTGAAAGAAGACGCAAAAGTAACCTGCAAAGACCTGAAAAGCAACTTAACACCATCGGTTGGAAGGTAAAAAGTCTTGACCCAAGTGCATTGTTAGTAGCTCTCAATAGTGACCAGACTATCGCGAGCTGCGCAGAAGAGAAGACCAAGGACCTGATGAAAAGAGTGACCCAGGCTTGTGACGCCAGTATGTCTCGTAGACGTGGCATGAACACAAGACCTTCCGTTCACTGGTGGAACGACCACATCAGCGCTGCTCGTAAAGAGTGTCATCAGAAGAGAAGAATATCTCATCGTGGCTACCGACGACCTAACTCTGTGGAACTGGTTGCAGAGTACAAAAAGGCCCACCGTGAACTGAATAAAGCCATCAAAGATAGCAAAAGAAAATGCTAGAAGGAGCTCATCAACGAAGTGGACAGAGATATGTGGGGTAGGCCGTATAAGGTGGTCATGACCCATCTTAAAAACCAGCTAATGCCAGCACCCACGTGTCCTCAACTCCTACAGAAGATCATAAACGCGTTGTTCCCCGAACAAAGCGAGTTTAACTACCTATTAGCACAGAATGAAATGAATGACATTCCATCTGTCACGGAAGAAGAACTAATGGAGATTTGTAATCGTGTAGGGAACAATAAAGCGCTAGGATTGGACGGGGTCCCCAATATTGCTTTAAAAATAACGATAAAAGCAGTGCCATCATTGTTCCTGGACGTCTACGACACATGCCTTAAGAAAGGGATTTTCCCTCGGAAGTGAAAGCAGCAACGACTAGTACTACTTCCAAAAGGGAAAAAGCCACC